AAATCTGTATAAATAAAATGAAAACTTTTGAAGAATAAGGTATTCCCCACATTTTACCGTGAAGAACCTTGACATTTCTATCTTGGTAAAGAAAATATAACAATGCACTATAGAATGTAATCATTTACAGAGGTATAGATCGCACCAGCAAGTTTTTATCAATTTCAATTATAACATTTACCAGAATATATTATATGATGGTAAATATAATTTTGCTTAGCCGTCCGATTTTCATCGATAATGCTTAAATTCCATGTGTATAGATCAACTCACACAGGTGTTTATCGTATGGAGTATACACATATAGTTTTGCATTATCACGTGTTTCTTGAGTGCCGAATACTTAGCTAAGCAGATCGACTTTAAATGGGCATAAGGAAAGGCGTTTAACGTGGCGAAAAGAGAATCCTGTAATTATACATGAATGCGTTTTATCCCAATATCTTACCTCGCATATCAGAAACTGCATGGACTACTAATATTGTGTAATAAACACTCAAAAATAATAAAGACTGTTATCTTTTCGATAAGATTTTCATGTCAGGCTCTAAAAACTGAAAATTTACCGTATTTATATCATTTTTTAACGAAGGTAAACTTTTGAGATTGCTTATTCCTAGAGACAGATTTTTTTTATTCCATTTAAAACGTATTCCAAGCTTTCAAGTCGAGTTTTTTCACGGTAGAATTGTCATAAATGTTATTTCCAAATGCGCATAAAGTTTACAAAAAGTTTGTTTTAAAAAAAATCTTTTGACCAAAAAACTTAAAAACCACGTGTTTTATTTATTCTGTCATTTGTTTGTCTTAATGCCGTTATCTGATTGGTCAGAAGGATTAGTTCCTTGTTTATTCTGTGTATTGATAGCAATTCACGGTTATCGTTCTTGACTTCCTTATTTAGAAATCGTCCAGACCTGTTAAAGCAATAGTTACATAAAAATAAAAGCAATGGAACTGTTACAATGCATTTGTCCAGTTGAAGTTCTGTCCAACTTCGTCTGTCTGAGTACAACATACAATTGAGCCACTATATCCAATAATTTCATTACATGTACAAGGTTTAAAAAGCACTATTTGAGGTTTTACTTAGATGATATCGGTGTAATTGTATCCTTTTACTTCTCAAAATTCCGTGTTTATGCAAACATTTTGACTCTCCATGAAATAAAAAAAATCTTTTTTTTCACACCTATAAACATTATTTTCCTTTTTCATGATAAAAGTTAACAAAACAATATTTTTTGCTATACAGATTTTTGTTACTGATGCACATCGCATCCTCATATAACAGTTTTAAAAGGAGATTTATAGAGATTGATCTTTTTAGTCTAACCTCAATATTTTGCATTCTAACGAAGTTGGACATTTTTACAGAAAATTTGATATACTTTAGTTAATTTTTTTTTATCTTAATCTCAAGATATATTGATACTCTTATAAGAAAGATCACTAATATTAAAATAAATATCAAATATCCCTTTATAAAGTGTTACGTTAAATTTTTTGCCCAATTTTTCTGCAAGTTATGCTATCATAATAAGTAATTTGAATAGCATATATATCTCCTTTAGAAAAATCATGAAGAAACGTTTTATGTGAGTAAACAAAAGGTTTATAAGCTATAAAACAATAAAAAAAGCCTGAAAAGAAAATACGTTTTCAGTATATACATGTATGTAGTAAAAAATAAAATTCGTACTGTTTGACTCACTGAAAAAAATGCAGTAAGATATAACAATTTTTTTCACATTATCTGCTTATTACTCTATTCTAATTGTGACGCCAAAACTAGGGATTTTACCATACCTTCTTAAACAAGAAGTCTCTGTCGAGACTGTAGCTCTACTGGTTTATACTTAAAACAAGGAAGAGAAAAGTAGCAGTTATGACTTGAATCTTCACAACAGGAATCAATAGAAAAATGATCCTTGACACTCAACAAAATAAAAACTGATGCACAGAATTATGAATCTTAGTTTTGTCTACTTATGTGCCAAGTTATATTAAAATCGGACTAAAACTAAAGGAGAAGTAGCCTTTGAAAGAATTTCACAGAAATGTCTATTTTTAGCAGCCACGGCAACACCGTTCATCAAAATCAAAAACTGAGGCGAAGAATTATGTATCTTAGTGTAGTATACTTGTGTACCACATTATATTGAAATCAGAACAAAACTGGTGGACGAGCAGTTTAAAAAAAAAAAATACAGAAATTTCTATTTGTAGTAACCATGGCAACACCGTTCATCAAAAACCGATGCACAGAATTATGTATCTACTTGTGTGCAAAGTTATATTGAAATCGGATCAAAAATGTAAGAGGAGTAGCATTTTAAAAGAAGTTCACAATAATTTCTATTTTTAGTAACCATGGCAACACCATACATCAAAATCAAAAAACCGATGCACAGAATTATGTATCTTAGTGTAGTCTACTTGTGTGCCAAGTTATATTGAAATCGGACCAAAACTGTAAGGGGAGTATCATTTTAAAAGTTCACAGAAATTTCTATTTGTAGTAACCATTGCAACACCATACATCAAAATCAAAAGCCGATGTACAGAATTATGTATCTTAGTGTAGTCTACGTGTGTGCCAAGTTATATTGAAATCGGAGCAAAACTCTGATGGGAGTAGCAATTTGAAATAATTTCACAGAAATTTCTATTTTTAGTAACCATGGCAACACCATTCATCGAAATAAAAAAAAACCGATGCACAGAATTATGCATCTTAGTAAAGTCTACTTGTGTGCCAAGTTATACTGAAATCAGACCAAAACTGTAGGAGGAGAAGCATTTTGAAAGAAGTTCACAGAAATTTCTAATTTAGTAACCATGGCAACACCGTTCATCGAAATTTAAAACCGATGCACAGAATTATGTATCTTAGTGTAGTCTACTTGTGTGCCAAGTTATATTGAAATCAGACCAAAATTGTACGAGGAATAGCATTTTGAAAAATTGTTAACAGACAGACAGACGGACGTACGACGGACGCATTACTATCGCATAAGCTCTTATGGTCACTGACCAGTAGAGCTAAAAATTGCTGAATGACATCAATTTGTTGTTTCATTGACAAGGATTGGAAGAAATGCGTTTTCTATGAAGTTTACCCCGGTACATGTATGTAAGATATCTGAAAATAAAAATTAACAAAGGTTGTCTAAACTATTTCTTGAGGAACCCATCCCATCCCGCTCCTATTAAATTTTTGGGACTTTTTCTGAGTTTAAAATAGAAATGTCATCAATACTAATTACGTCATATTTCTAAAATAGTCCTCATTTATGTTGCATTCTTTCATGTTTGATCACAGTCAAAGAGGAAAAATACAACCAAAGCATTGGTGAACATAACTCTAATGAAGGCGTTTCCTAGTCTAGCTGTAAGAATTACCAATTTTGTATTACATATTACCTTTTTCAGTTCCGTGTTCAAACATTGCACACATATGTAGATTTAGCTTAATGAAAATACTGTCTGTACAATAGTAAGTAAACACAACAAATAATTCAAGAATACTGTAAACCAACTTTTAATTTGCAACGACTTATTTTCGATGAAGATGGTCTCGCGAATCTCGCGAAATTTCTCGCACGCAAATAAAAGTTGGTTAACAGTACACGGTTAAACATATTTCGCTAATCTAAAACACTTAGAAATTAAAACAAATAATGTGTATATATTCTTAGTGAAAAGTAATTAAAGATTTGCTTGCTAATGATATACCAAACGCTAATTTTAGTGTATACTGAAAGGATTAAGAAACGCATATTAAACTTTTGAGTCAAATTAAAACAATTATTTAAAATATGTTTTTCAGCATTTTTATTATACATTTTAATTCATTTTTAATCAACAAGTTACCAAGATTTTGTGCGATTTTGAGTGACAGTTCTTGAGATATTTATATCAATATGTCGACACCCCCCAAAAATAAAACTAAAAATTCTCATAATCTCCCTTTCGCATCAGTAACAAACTTGATTTTCCTGTGCATTGAGTTCACAAGAGCATTTATTTGTTTATAGCATTATTAGTCAACCCTTCCGACGGTAGTCTTAATGGGTGAAATTGGCTGTATTATTCCAAAGTCAACAAATCCCCCCGCTCAATCGAATCCCGCGAATTTTCGATTTAGGATAGAATATACAGAACCCAGCAGGTTTGGTACTTGTTAATGTTTGTAAAAAAGTATCGACAAATATTAGCAACATTTTTCCAGTGTAAACATGCTAAAAAATATTACGCAAACGACGCGTACTTGCGCGTTTGAGAGTAAAATCGACGTAAACTGGCCAAGCTCGCGGCCCAAATTAGAGCAGAGAGTTTCTGTCAGTTTAGGGTGAAAAAAGTGAGCATGTTTGTCTGCTGTATAAATATCAGTTTTGGTGATAATGCCTTGACAATAACCGAGGTGGCGTGATGAAAAGCCCTATCTTGTTGTGACGTTGGTAAGCGTCAACATCACCGTCAAGGTTGGTTGGAAACATTTTAAGTTTACTCTCAGACAACCAAAAACCACTTTTATTTGGTTGAAAAGTTGAAAACAATCTGTGCATCAGCATGTTTTTGCCTTTTTATTCACTTATGCAATATTGAATTCAATTACTAAACCCACAGTAGATTCCGTCAGCCATACCACGATTGCAAGAAATTTATACCGACTGCAAATATGCAAAAACGTTGTCTATATGTCTAATGCATAGTATGGTACTACAAAATTTTATTACAAAATTATCATAATTAACATGCACGTGTTTTTGACTTTTTTTCATTTCCCCTATGTGATGCCATACATTTCATGGTTGAGTAGTTTTTACTAGTGATTTTGGTGCAAGATAACCAAAATAAACATCTGACCAATTTTCATAATTCTCGGTCACATAGTCAGAAAACTTTCCTACATCATGTTCTTGTGCGTTTCTTTTTCCTTTCAGTATATATTCAGATGCGCATTTTAGCATATTTTCATTCTCAGTCGAGTGACGAAAAAATGTGAAACATTCAAATTCAAAAAAGTTTTTCAAACCATACAAAACATTTGAAAAAAAAACCATTTGAAAGTTTCAAACATGTATATGATGTATAATTATCAACTATATTGAAATATTAGACAATAAATTTTGTAATTCCTTAAATAATTTAAAACTGGAGGTTGTTTTTCTCTACAGTTTCCAATATCTAGTAAGTTCAGCAGTATCAATGATATGCCGATCAGTAACGGAATGCAAAGGACACATCAATTTAAGGTCTTCCTTTGGAATGTCTTTTTCAGGTAGGAAATGTTCCTTAATATCCATAGCAATCGTTTCTTCTTTGTCCATTCGACATCTAAAGCCTCTTACATACTGTATCTTTCTATTAAATGTTCCTGCTAAAGCATTTAACAGCTCTTCTATTCTTTCTTGAATCAAACATATTTTTTCTGTTTCCAAAATAATTCCTTGTATCGGGCAAAATACTTGAAGTTGTATAGATTCTTTAGTGACAGATAAAACAATGTTGTATTGTATGTAGGAAAATAAAGCAGCATTTTTATAGAGGCAAGATGTTCCTCTATTCCGTAGGACTTTCCAACCATTTTCTTGCATACAACCAACAACAAGACGAAAAAACAAGAAAAATGGCAGAAAATCAAATTGATAAACAAGCACAGATGATTTACTTTCAGATTCCTCGATGAGATTTAAAAGTTCTGTTTCAATTTCTTTACGATTCATGCACGGAACATAGTGAGATTCTGTACCAATAGCCAACAAACCAAGTCTTTGCATGAAGTTCAGGAGTGATTCCTTGTGACATAGTAGATATCGTTTATCATTCTCATCTGATTCATCTTCACTGTCGTTGTCTTCGCTTTCATTATCGGAGTATTTTTCTTCTTTCTTTAGCTTTTCGAACAATTCTTCATCTTTGTATTTCCAGATCTCCACAAGGAGTTGGTCTCGCAAATTACCAGTTTTGTAATATTCTTCCCAGTTCTCCTGAGTCCCAGGAATTCCTGTAAAATGTAGCTTGTCTGTTATGATATGTTTGAAAGCATCAATAAACCATTGCACATTAATAATTACTTTATCGTACAGACCATCTTCCTTAAAATATAAAGCTTTTCCGGCATCATGATAATATCTCAGCATATCTAGTTTTTCAACTTTTTTGAAAACTTCCTCTCCTCTATCAGTAATCTCTGAAGCTGTTGATCTTATTTTCGATATTTTCATGATTCTCATTAAGATTTTTTTCTGATTGATTTCTATTCCAAAAAAAGACCATTCTTTTGGAATGTTCTCGTTCCATCGTTGATTGGAAGCTATGTTGAAAAGGCAAGTTTCTAGATCACGGAGAGGTAAATTAAATTCAGTGCAAAAAATTTTATCATCTCTGATGTACTGTGATAGGTGAGATGATTTTGGAATCTGGGAGATTAGACTTGCCATCAATCGGTTTTTATCCTAAATTAAAAAGGAAACAAAATCACTATTGTATAAAGACTGTTTTCGTTTTTTGTCAAGATGTCATTTGAGACAATACTTCTTTTTATGCTGTTTAGAGATTCCTCTGTCTCTTATAAATGCTAATGGACTTATTCAGTTCAAAAGCCTTTCAAAAATGCCATGTAAAATACATTTAACTTTATGTTTACAAGTGATCAACATGAAGGGACACTAAATCAGTTAACACAATTGCATAACTAAGTGGCCTTCAAATTCATGTATTAATCATTTAAAATAAGAACAAATTTACTTTTTTTAAACCTGGATCTTTTTGGTGTAAAAGTAAAAAGTATTTTATCTATTGCATTTAAGATCCAAAAACTTTATATTGCAACATATACGTGTACGAGCTCCTTAAGATAGGAATCCTCTAACAATTCTTGTACTTAAAAATCAATGACATTTTCACAGAATCAAGAAGACATTATCACTAAGTGATAGTATCAGTAAGATTAAAGAACAAAGTGCGGTATACGCAGTTATCTGCCGCAACATTTTCAATATTTTAAACTTTACTTTTTTGTCTTTTAATGTTGAGCATTTGAGCAAGTAAGATGCGAACTAAATTCCACAGGTACAAAAATGATGCAAGTTTTCATTATGACGTCACCAATACGCGCTTAACATGGATTGTGAGCTAGAATTCGTTGAAAATGTTTTAAAATAAGCGATCTTTCATAAAATTACTCCATTGCGCATGTATGTAAGTTTTATTGGTATATATTTAATTTATACAGTCAAAATTGTGTTGGTTGTCACTTGCGATCAATATGAATTTTGAGAAAATTCAATGTGAAAACGACATTTTACCATAAAATCATTAACTTGATATCGATGTTCATTACACACATTCAAAGCAAATTGGGGTTATTTTTATGATTTAAATTATATCAGTAGTAATTGGAAATCTTATATACATATAAGGTTAAGGATGATAAATGATTATAAACATTTATGAATGGAAACTCATTTGAAAAAAGGATCAGTTGTAGTATAAAAGATGATGCGTGTACAGCTATCGTTTTTAATTATGCACGCACATAGTACCCATTGACTATACACGTAGTACTAAAAAAGGGACTAAATTCTCTCAAGATGAAATTCATTCCATTTAAATAACACGACGATATGTTCAGATTTAATTGATAGAATTTTTTTTTAATTTGTAAAACCTCAGTATATATTTAAGGTCTTCCGTCTTCACGGAAGACCTTATAGTGATTCTACTGTTTCTTATTATTAAGGTCTTCCGACTTCCTTCGGAAGACCTTATTGTTTTTCTTCTGTTTTCTATTATTATTAAGGTCTTCCGACTTCCTTCGGAAGACCTTATTGTTTTTCTTCTGTTTTCTATTATTATGAAGTCGGGGACGACATATTGATATTGTACGCATGTTTTTTTTATCCAGGCTGTTTCTCAAAGATGGCTGGGACGATCTTGCTGAAACTTTCCTCAAAGGACGATCACTGGTTGTAGTTGTGCAGTGAGGTCGTTCAGTTCCAATATGTCTACCGTTGCCATGGAAACCTGTAAAAAGCGACGAATTTTGTCCGCGAGTGTTCTCTCTGGTCCCTTAAACGTTCGTCATGAATTTTTTTTTTTATTTTAATGATTAGTATCTGTAGTTGTGCGATTTGCATTTAAAATTTTCAAATAATCGATTATTGCCATGGAAACCAGGGGAATGTTAAAATTCTTTAATTTCGATTTTCTCAATAACTAGTCAAGCAATTGTTTTGAAACTTTCAATGTTAATTCCTTGTAATGTGTCAAAGTGATTTCTACTTTTAAAATAATTGTAATGAGTCGCTCACAGTTGTCATAGAAACGAAACAGAAAAAAAGGTTAAGATGTACACATGTGTTCTCCAAGGTCTAGGTCAAAGGGTCAATGTTCTTCGTGTCCAATAAAAGTTCTTTTCACAAGGATTACATATTTGAAATACGAAAGCCCTAGCCCTTACCGTTCAAACGTAAGGTACTAAGTTCAAGACGACCTCCCCCCTCTTCGAAGCGCACTGCCAGGTAGAATACACAGATATAACATATACAACTTACAAGTAACGTTTTAAAAGTTTCATTCATAAAATTAAGTTCTCCTGGTGTGATTTGATAGTTTGCAAACATTCATTCTTCTTCTGTCTTGTCTCTAGATTTTATAATTATTTTATTTTATCTATATAGAAAATAACGATTGTCAGCTGCATTTATTAGCATTTTGCGTTTTTTTTTTGTATATCTATTACTTGTATATTATTAATTTCATTAGATAGTGCAAGTATAAATTAGAAAATTGGTACGTTATTCCCATAGTTTTTATTCATTCATAAATCCTTAAATCCGCTCCTACAGGTGCGCGAAGCCTTGATCATTACTGTAAACAAAACATTCATCTCGCCGAAAATGTTCATGATTCCACTAAACTGAGAAAGTTTACACATGATTTATCATCTCATAAGAAACATCAGCCCTGTGCAATGCAGAAATGCTCGAATTGAAGGTGGCATGTCAGATTCGTTTTCCGGCAGAACCTCTAACAAGAGGTCCTTGGGCCTTATAGGTCACCTGAGAATCATGCAACAACTGTCAAATGATAGAATTTGGCTCAAGTTTTAAGGCAAATGTTATGGCATTCACAATTTTGAAAGAGGCTGGCAGTCTGGCACATTGCTAATCATAACTATGAACTTTGCAATCGCTTAGTTTGGTTACTTAAAGGGGCTGGGTGGTCGTGGCCATTTTTAGACTATTTCTATCTCCTTTAGAAGAAGAGTTCCATATAAAGATAAACAAAAATAATCAAATTTTAAAACTAATATGTATGAAATTTTTCTTTGTCAAATGATAGAACTTTGACAGCTAAAGATATCATATCATTTAAGTTATATCTGGTGGTTAATTTGTTGTTAATTTGTTGACCCCAAGCCTTAATACCCATGGACTGGATAGGGGAACAAAAACAAAACATGAACCCCTGACCCTAGGTCAACACATTGCACAATTTTTGAAAAGGCGCCCTTGCTTATTAAAAATGTTTGTTTAATACCAAAGAACAGATTTCAAACAATTCATTTCCAGTATTAAGTAGAGCCCTACCCCCCCCCCCTCCCTGGTATCCCTGACCCAGGAGCCTGTAAGTTCACAATTCTGGAAGAAAAACCTTTGCATATCATAACTATATTAGTAGTTCATCTGCTTATTAACCAGGAGCAGAGAAGAAGATTTTCAAAAAATTAATGTATTTTCACTATATAATCTTTATAGAGCCCCGCCCTAACACCACGACCCCTGACCCTGGGGCCATGAAATTTACAATTTTAAAAGAGGCACTCCTATTCATCATAAGTATGTACTTTAGTTATTTTAATTAATACCCAGAAGCAAAGAAGAAGATTTTCAAAGCATTAATGCATTTTTACTATATAATCAATAGAACCCCTGACCCTGGGGCCATAAAATTCACAATTTTAGAAGAGGCACTCTTGCTCATCATAACTATATACATGTACTTAGTCAGTTTATTTAATACCCAAAAGCAGAGAAAAAGATTTTCAAAGAATTAATGTATTTTAACTATATAATCATTATAGAGCCCCGCCCTAACACCAGAACCCCTGACCCTGGGGCCATAAAATTCACAATTTTAAAAGAGGCACTCTTGCTCATCATAACTATGTACTTAGTTAGTGTATTTAATACCCAGGAGCAGAGAAGAAGATTTTTAAAGAAATGATGCATTTTCACTATATAATCTATATATCCCCGCCCTAGCACTAGAACCCCTGACCCTAGGGCCATGAAATTCACAATTTTAGAAGAGGCACTCTTGCTCGTCATAACTATATACTTAGCCAGTTTATTTGATACCCAGAAGCAGAGAAGAAGATTTTCAAAGAATTAATGTATTTTCACTATATAATCATCATAGAGCCCCGCCCTAACACCAGAACCCCTGACCCTGGGGCCATAAAATTCACAATTTTAAAAGAGGCACTCTTGCTCATCATAACTATGTACTTAGTTAGTTCATTTAATATCCAGGAGCAGAGAAGTAGATTTTCAAAGAAATAATGCATTTTCACTATATAATCTATATAGCCCCGCCCTAGCACTAGAACCCCTTACCCTGGGGCCATGAAATTCACAATTTTGGTAGAGGACTCAATGCTGATTACAATCATGCAAACAGTTTGACTGCTTGATGTCCAGGAGTAAAGAAGAAGATTTTCAAAGATTGCACTAATTTTAGTGGTTTTGGCCCCACCCCCCAGGCCCCAGGGGGGCAGTGACCATGAAATTCACAATTTTTGTTCCCCTTCACCCATAGATGCTATATGCTGAAATTGGTTGAAATTTGTTCAGTGGTTTCAGAGAAGAAGCTGAAAATGTTCAAATGTTAACGCACGACGAACGACGCACGACGACGGACAAAAACAGATAGCAATAGGTCACCTGAGTTTACTCAGGTGACCTAAAAATGAAAGTGAAAGTAGGGAAATTTCAGAGTTCTTACTAGCGTTATAATACACAAAATAATTCGGCTGATCTTCTTAATAAGTTACATTTGCCAAGCCTTTTTGGTAGGAAAGATACTGCCAATTAACAAGTATGAGGCTTAGTTCAGTACGTCTGCCCAATTTCTTTTTTGCAAGTCTGCAAATTTAGGAACTTGTAATTTTTTCCTGCACTTCTTTCTTCTCCTACCGATTCTAAAAATTATTAGTGGGATGTACCCAATTAAGGTCTTCCGTTTCCAACGGAAAGGACTGATACGACTCGACGGTTGTCCAAGCTTAGCTAATGGACCATTGTTTTAGTGATGATAAAAATGAAAGCCTTGTCCAGTACGGGGCGACATGCTATTGCTTGCAATAGCAGACTTTCTAGTTATTATTATTATTATTCCACTTTTCATAGTACAGGTCATATCTCCGCTGTACGGGCTTCAATTTGAACGA